GGGAGTTTTTCTAATAATAGAGGGGGTAATATATGTCATACAGATTGTAAAGCCCTTCGAAGTAAATTTGGGATTTGGGAAACATAAAAAGTAGTATAACACAGTATAACAGTACATGACAGTGTAACGCAATCTCTCCTGCCATCATAATTTATCACTTTCCACAAAAACAGTGTTAATCCAAGCATTTGTTTTATTTTCTCCTTATTTAATTATTTATTTCTTCAAATCAGCATCATAATTGCACAAATAACACAAATAGTTAGGTCCAAGACATAAAATCTAAAATAAAATAAAATAATAATTTTTAAAAAAGTACAAGTGCTTTATAGTAAATAACACTGAGGCTAATAGGCCTAACTAATTGAAAATAATTGTATTATTTTACAGTAAAACAGTACAACAAAACAACACATTGCAAATAAAATTTAAATCAAATATCTTTACATTTGTATTATAATTCTCTACACAATCCTTTGTCGATACAACATATATGCCACCTATTTATATATTTCTATTTTGAAAACAAAATGTAAAAGGTTGGTACGTCTTTAACTGTATATGTACCGTAATGACTCAGTCAAAAATAACTATTTGTGTTGTCTTGGACAATTTTTTCTTAGTCAGAGTCTGATCCCAGGTTTTTCATGTTTTTACAACCTGACAAACGTGGAATATGGCTTATAGTTTTCTTCTTTTTCTTTTTTTCTTTTGTGTTTTTCTTCCATGAGATAAACCTCAATTTCCTTTTTTCAGAGTTTTGCTTTAGTTTCTTTACAGAAGTTGAATAAATTGTAGTACTTGCCTCATTCTTATCTTCCGCATTTTTATTGGCCCCTTTGGCTCCACGTTTCTTTGACTCTGGCAAAAGGGAATCACTTAGTTTTAATTTGTGAACAGCCTCTGACTGAAGTGTCCTATTGTGAGGTTTCCTCTACAGTTCCTATGTGTTTCGTCTCACAACTTATTTGAGTGCCACTAGGGGTTTCTGTAATCTCTTCCTCAATTATCTTAACTTGATATGTCTTCTTTGAACCACGTCTTTCTTCCACTCTATCTTCTACACTGTCAACTCCCTGATTCTCAGTCAGTCTGCTGCTTCCTGCAGATCCTGTTCGTCTAAGAGAAGAGTCTGCTCTGTCCTGAATAGGTTTGTTATATCCTGTCTCTTCCTGCTCTTTGGTCTCTACAGCAACATCTTTATTTATTGTATGTCTAACATTAGTTTCCTGTCTGACATCTAAACCTCTAATGTTCTGAACTTCTACATCTCGACCAAAGTGTTGTTGTCTCTCTGATGTTTCTCTACTTTGTGAATGTTTATCATGTCCTCCTTTTTGTTCCTTGTCTCCTTTAACATCCCTCTTTTCCTCTCTGTGTTGCTCACGTCTTTTATACTTGCTACTACTTCTCTGTTTACTCTCCTGATCATCTTTTGGCATCTTCTGTTCACTATCACATACTCTTCTATTGTCTTGAATCTGATGAGAGCAGAGATCATATTTTGTCAGGAGAGTACTTCTCCCTGATGCCAACCCCCTTTCATCTGCTCCAGTTTTTCCTTCCCTGTCTACCTCAACGACTCTTTTCATCCTCTCCTCATCTCCCTGTTTGTCCACACTAGCAATCTTGTAGACGTAATCTTGTCTAACTTCCTGTGTACCTCCCAGATCTTCACTTATGTTCTGTCTAACACCATCTAATCCTCCACTGTCTTGATATGTTTTTGTCTTCTTTGGACCACGTCTTTCTTCCACTGTATCTTCATTATATTCAGGTCTTATTTTTTGTTGCCTGTGTCTCGTCTTTTCAACACTGTTAACTCCCTGTTTCTCAGTCAGTCTGCTGCTTCCTGTTCGTGTAAGAGAAGAGTCTGCTCTGTCCTGAATAGGTTTGTTATATCCTGTCTCTTCATGCTCTTTGGTCTCTACAGCAACATCATTATTTCTTACACTAGTATCCTTTCGGACATCTAATCCTCCAATGTTCTGATCTGCTACATCTCGACCAAAGTGTTGTCGACTCTGTGTTTCTCTACTTTGTGAATGTTTATCATGTCCTCTCTTTTGTTCCTTGTCTCCTTTAACATCCCTCTTTTCCTCTCTGTGTTGCTCATGTCCTTCATACCTGCCACTGCTCCTCTGTTTACTCTCATGATCATATTTTGGCATCTTTTGTTTACTTCCCCCTGATGCCAATCCCCTTTCATCTGCTCCAGCTTTTCTTGCCCTGTGTACCTCAACGACTCTTTGCATCCTCTCCTCATCTCCCTGTTTGTCCACACTAGCAGGCTTGACCTGTGTACCTCCCAGATTTTCATGTATGTTCTGTCTATTATCATCTAATCCTCCACTTTCTTGATGCTCTGCGTCCCTGTTGAGGTCTCTCCTTTCTGACTGTTCATCACCTGAAATCTTTCCATCCTTGTCTCTGTTTACATCCATTTCTCGCTGCGTGTCCAAACAAACTTGAGGATATTCTTCTCTCACATTCGTGTTGCTGATTTCCTGTTCCTGCTTCTGAACATTATATGATGGGTTGTGTATGTCACAACCCTCCAGACCCTCCTGTGGTCCCCTCTGTCTAACATCATCTGGTATTTCACTACCATTGCCCTGATCCTCAACACTCTCTTCAAGTTCAGTTTCTCTAGAGAAGGTTTCTCTCTTTTCTGCCTGCTCATTGGTTTCTGCATTTCTGTTTAAGGAAACAGCCACTGCAGTGTCATTACCCGCTTCTGCTGCCATCTCAATCTCCTCTATCCTTCTCATCTTTACATCGTGACTCTGGTCATAGATATCAATGATATCAGACGGGAAAGCTCCAGGAGGAGACACCTCCCTGATGTCTTGAGTACAAGTATCTGCAGCATGCACTGGGAAGATAAAAAGGTATAAAGTTATAAAATAAGTTCAGATAAAATACCAAACAATTTAATGCATTCATTCACATTTCACATCAGTAAGCATAATGACAATGTTCTTACCTTTCCTTCTCCTATAAAACAGAAGATAAGCACTGCTGGATCTAGTGAGAGCAATGTGGAAAGAAATGATTAATTATTATTAAAGAAAAGTTATTTTCAAATAAATGTTTAATACAGGGGCTTTCTGTTGTACGTGCACTGTTATGCATCCTGTGGATATACTCAATCCAAAAAACTCAATTAAGAAATCATTTATGGTAAGCATGAAATAAAAGGACTAAAACTTACGTCTCCAAGTTGTCCACCTGGAATGGCTGATAATCTGACTGTTGGTGAAAAGAATAATCAAACATAATGTGATAAATCAATGTTTTTTTGCACTGTAATATGTAACTTTGAACAATACTGGTCTTAGTGATCAGTCTTACCAGTGAGACTCTGGTATCATCAAAGGTATACCATCTCTCATCATCCTTGATTGTTGCAGTGTAGTGTCCACTTCTAAGATCTCCAAAATGATCCACAACTGCGTACAGTTCATATGTCTGATTCTGATCATCAGGAGACAAAATGACAGACATTAGCACCAGGAATGAAAAATAAATGTGTTCTGATAAAACAGTAAAATATACTGTATATATACCTCTGGTATCTGTAGAGTGCAGGGAACCTCCACAATGCAGTTGTTTTTGACATATGTCATGTAGCTGTAGTTGAACTCAAACCTCTTCAACAGCAGCATCAAAACCTCTGGATGACGCTTTATTACAGATTGCTGAATTAAAAACACAGATCCCCAACATGTTTTATCAAGTTATTATCATACATTTACAACACCATGAACTCTTAATAAAGTCATTTCAAAATCAGAGTTATAGACAAATCAGTTAATGTGTCATTACTCACAGCAGTTAATGTGTCATTACTCACAGAAGTAGCATCAGATTTATCATCACAGTGCTCACAGTACATCTGGTTTTCTCCGCTGAACTCTGTGGTTCTGAAATACTCTTCAATGCCATCCACCTGAAATATGCACCAGTGTCAGTCTTAGCTGTTTTCATGTGGTCAAGAAGTGCACTGTTGCATCTCAGGTTTCATTTGTGATTTTCATGTTTTCTGGCCAACTAATATCGAAGTCCAGTAAAAATGCAGTGCCTAAGACTCTTCTTATTAACCTAAAGACCAGTACGTCCATGTTGTTTTTAACACCCAGTTTACAGCCAACTTTAGATTAATGCTTGCCAACTGTCTAAAATAACCTTTGTTCTTTATGTTGCATCCACTGAGGCCGGAATGGTATTTTGCATGGAATCATGCAAATCTGAAAACTACATTGAAACCAAACAATGATGTCATACCAGGTATTTCATTACTTTTCAAAATTAAACCACTTGCTGGGACATAGATGTCACGAGCCTCAGGTACAACATACTTTGAAAGCTTCAACACACAGTGCAGTAGCATTTCTCTGATATGTGTGATTCACTGTTGAATTTATTGCAGCACACACAGGAAATCTGGCATTTGTTACATTAATGGACTTCACTGACAAACCACTATTTTGTCTTGTTATTGTTATATGTGTCTCTAATGTCTAAAGCTGCAAACATTTGATTAAGTTATGAAGTGTGTTAATGTGCTGATGATAGTTTCTTTAAAACATCACAGGGCTTGTGAGGTCAGATCAAAATGTTTGTACATCTGAAAAACTAATATGAAAATAACATATTTAGTTTACTAGATATCTCCTGAACAGCTTTAAAGTTTTCAGGATGTCAGATCCTTACCACACTGTAGTGTTCACTGTAGGAATTCACCAATGCAAGAGGAAGATGCCAAAATGCCCCATCAGTGTCAGTCTCTGTAAAACATGTAGAACATTTGGTCCTGTGTGTCAACTGTCCGTGGAAGATCTGAAAGCACAAAAATACAGAGACTGGGTAAAAAGCATCTGCATTTAATGTACAGATTGTCTTTGATTTTGATTATCTCTTTACCTGTGATGCCTCAGAACTGGTCAGATTTAAAATCTTTTCAAAGTACTCAGCAGCATCATGTTCTTCATACACTGAGGATGAAAAGAATAAGAAGAACATGAGATAATGTTGTCTATCTACGGAGATTTACTGACTGTGTGTAGGACGCAGATATTCAATATTATTTAAGATGACTAACACGTGTGAGATAAAAGATAAACTGATAACATTTACCAAGAAGTAGGTTTGATACTTTAACATATTTTTACTGTACCTCTGTCAATGCAAAGCTTCTTTGTGATGTTATAGGTGTACGCTGTATGTCCTTTTAAATCATCAAACAAGGTTTTTAGATGACGATCGATGCCCTCAGTGTCAGGATTTTCACTGGTGTACCTAAACAAAGTTAATACATGCTTCCCTTGAGTGATACAATTGTGTACTGTAGCCTCAATTCAATATGAATCAATAAAGACCAACACTACAAGACATGAAGTTGAACTAACACACCTTTCCACAGCTTCTGTGAAGTCTTTGGTCATGAACATCACCTGTAGCACACTGTTCAGGTAGCTTGTTGCTCCTTGGTTTAACAAGCCATGGTACTGAACTGTTGGGACGAGGTTGTTCATAATTCATGTAAATTAACTGTCCTATGTAATTACAGTTACTGTGGATGAAAAATGTAAATGACCTACCTGCATTGTATCGGAACATCTTTCGAGCACTTTCCAATAAATTCATTTTGATACCTTTAATTTTCAGTCCACATAGAGATAGAGATCATCCACTGCAACAAAAACTGATACACTGAAGAAAACAGAAGAAACGATACGAGCACACCTTCAGATGGAAGTTAAAGAGATTTTTACTGATAAATGGAAAGTTGTTTTGCACAGATGTGCAAATAATTGCAAACATACAGCAAGACGTCTCCCTTCAAAATAAAGAAAATACTTTCACTTTCACTTAAAGACTCACCCACTGAAATGATGCATTCAGTGTTTTTCGGAAATATGGTAATTACGATCATGCAAATGATAGTAAGAAGGTTAAATGGCAGACACTGTTAAAAATTGTGCGTGAGAGAAGGATTTTGTGCTTAGCACACTCAACATAAAACACTGTTTATGTGGCAGATTCATTATGAAATTAAAACTGTTTAGGTAATAAACACATAAATGTGAATAATAGGAGTCAATTCTTTTATGTCAGAACTCTTGCATGTTCAGCTGTCATATGGAAAGATCATAAAAGTAAAACTTATTATATATTTTTAACATCGGATCAAAACAAACCTGTCATGTGAATTCCTGTAAATGTGTGAGATTGAAAGTGAAAATTAAATCTCTTAACAGTGACACAACACAGACAGGTATTTATATCTCAAATATGTATTTCCTTGTACAAAGTGTTCTCAGATCAGTTCCCAGGTAACTTTAAACTGGTAGAACAAGGATTAAAAATAACATGTGACAATCAGACTGACGATGTGGAAGTTAACAGTGAGAGTGACTAATAATCCTGAACACAGTCTCACAGATTGGTGCTGTCAATACCAGACTCTGCTCACAAAAGTAACAATTTTGGTGATTATTATATTCTTAATCTTGGTTTCTTGTAATTGTACTATTTTTGGGAGTTTTTTAATAATAGAGGAGTCATATATGTCATACAGATGTGAAGCCCTTTGAGGTAAATTTGTGATTTAAGCAACATAAATAAAATAACTTATGACTTTCCACAAAAACAGTGTGAATCCAAGTATTCGTTTCATTTTCTCCTTATGTAGTTTTTTATTTCTTCAAATCAGCATCAGAATTGTACAAATTACATAAATATTTCGGTTCAAAGTGATAAACATAAAATCTAAAGCATCTATAACATCGGTCAGAGAGCACTGTAGTAATGGTAAAAGTACAAGTGCTTTCTGGTAAACAACACTGAGACTAATAGGCCTAATTCATTTAAAATAATGCAGTATTTTGTACTATTGTACAGTAAAACAGTACAACAAAACAACACATTACAAATAGAAATTGAATAAAATATCTTTACATTTGAATTATAATTCTCCAACAATCCCTTGTCGATGCAACATACATGCCATCTATTTATATATCTCTATATCTCTATTTTGAAAACAAAATGCAAAAGGTCGGTACGTCTTTTACTGTAAATTTAAATAAGGTGAAAACAGCAACAAAAGACAAAAATCAGATGATCGTTAAGTCTGTGAATTTGATTTCAGATGAACAAAAACATGATCTTGTGTTTCTTTAACTTTACATTTGTATTAGGTTTTCTATTGCGTTACTTCCTATTACAGATTGTCACAATAAATCAGCACTTTAACCTAAAACAACCCTCTCTCTTTTAAATCTTTAACATTTGCTGCTCTTTACACAGAAACAATCCTGTGGAAAACAGGAACTGATCATTTTTACTAACCCTAACCCTTACCTAACCCTAACCCAAAGGGAAAATATTCAGTACAATACTGTCAAGCTGCCAACTGATCTCTGGCATGTAGCTATTGCTACGTATCAATATGCATCAATCAAAACCTTAAATGAAATCTGTGGATCACCATAATGACTGGACAAAGTATGTATTCGTCTTAGTCAGAGTCTGATCCCAGGTTTTTCTTGTTTTCACCCACTGAAAAACCTGAAAAGCAGCAGGTAGTTTTGTTTTTTTTCTTTTTTTCTGTGTTTTTCTTCCATGAGA